CTATATCCACTTGAACAATTTCTTTGTGGGATTTTAAATATAACTTTTATCCGTTTAATTGTCAATTTGTGCAGTTTGAGACATAAACCTTTTTGTTAATTCCAGTTTATTTTCAGCTTTACATGCATGCGTAGAATTTTGCTAAAATCTGTATATCACATCCAGTTGTACTACAGGCCTGCAGTTTGGTCCTCTACCCTGTCAAGTTCATCGAGAGTATCAACTTGAGGATCTACCATGAATTTAACTGGGGCTACGGCCTGGCCTGGGGAGGCACCATCTTTTCCTTCGGTGGGGGAATCCTCTACTGCCTCAATCCCAAGAACTATGAGGAATACTACTAGTACTACCTCATGTCTGGAACCCTCTGGTCACATCTTCAGAGTCTGAGGGGTACATAGGGACTGAATAACATTTCTAATGTTCTGGGAAAGGGGGAGGGAGTGGGTGTCTATTAACAGCTCGATTCCCAAGAACTTTAAAGGGAAACATCGGACAGCCAGTAACTGTATTATCACAAGTTTTGCATCCAGACAGTGAACCTAGTGGTCTGGAGCTTAAGTTTTTTGCCTCAATCAACACTAGTGTCAGTGCTGACTCTAATGGATATTCAGACTGATAAGCCTCATGTTAGATGGTGCATCTTGGGACAGATGAGGTAGGGGGCTTACAGGTTTATTCCCAAGGCTTATGATACAGTCTAAGGAGAACTGACAACACTACGGTAACAAAGGACTCAGGTTACCAGTGTTAATACCTCCATTCTGAATTGCAAGAACTGCTATTATGTCTATTAACTTTTCTGTTTGGAAAAGCAGGATGTCAGACTGACACTTTTGCCAGTTACACATGGATGCGCATGCACATACACAGGCATAGGTAGCATATCTTTATATGTAAAGAAACCATCAGAAACCCTCAAGATCATCATCATCATCATCATCGTAAGTGCTTATTTAGGAGCTGTTTTATTTTATTTTTAGAGTTCTGTGAAGCTCTTAAACTTTCACAAGGATGTGAGACATGCTGCAGATGCTAGAGTTGTGCCTCGTAACTTTTCATAACACAGATCGATTTGTCTTGTGGGAGAAGGTAAGGAGGGTGGAATAAACTAAAGACATTTGCTCAATATTCTGTTATCAACCCACTTGTCTGTTACTGTGGCAACCCACAGGGTTTGCACATGCAGCTGTCATCATTGATTAGCTATGATTGGAGGTGTGAGATGGGACAGCGCTCGGCTAAATTTCGATTGCCTATCATGCTGCGTTTCTTTGCACCGTGACATATGGAGCATCCTTTAGTCTTCTTATCTGGCTCATGGCGGTGTCTACAGCACACATGAGACACACAGCTCCAGTCTTTCAGTGGCCACGTTGTCATGCACAGCAGCAGTTTGAGAAAATTAGAATGTGTTCTGAATTTAATTATGTTCATACACACACACACATTCACATATTACTGTATAAAATCCAGTTATTATGTTTACTTTCATTTGCAATCGTTCCACAGTAATTTGCATCGTGGGCCGATAGAAAGGAAAAAAGATCAAACAAACATGATTTTTGTCCTCTTGTGAGGAAAATGGTGGTGCGTCCGCCGTCTACAGGAGACATTTCCTTTATTTTTATGGCCCAAAAGGACAAGTGTGTAACAGTAAAATGGCAGAAACAACTTTATACTGCTAGCACATGTTTTGCAAAGCTAGCCGAGATCCCACAGTGATGATGAAGCTGAGTGCATGCTGACCCAGTGGGATTTGTGTTGGTGTGTGGAACTGTGTTGTTGACTGGTAATCATGAGACAATGCATTCCA